GCCCAGGTACAGTGGACATACATGTCTCCAGGCCTCACCATGACCACCTCTCCATGCCTCAGAACTCAAAGGCTCAAAATCAAAGACATAAGCTCACAGTAAGATGTGTGAAAGGCCTCAGGGGAGCCCAGTAGTCAGCCTTTTCAGTGTCAGCTTACAGACAAGTCAAGCACATATCAAAATTTTACAGAAGCAGCAATTTTATGACCTTAAAACATATAGCAAAAACAGCATAAACCTTTCTGACCAGTAGATCCAGAAAAAAAAATTCTGAATTATATTTAGTATTGGCAATTCTGAAGGTATTCGTATTTTATTTTGCCAACAATGTAAAAGTGTGCTTCATTTGCCAAATATTATATAAGATCAGAAAGAAACATCTGATACACATAACAGATATATACATATAGACAGACACACAGACAAGAGCAGAAGTTAAAGTTTTCAGAAAAATTTTTCATTTGCTAGTTTCCAAATAGTTTTTCTTTCCCCCAGTTCAGACTATCAGTATTCCAATTACCTGTTTCATTGTTCTAAGCAATTCTTAGCTAGAAAATCCTAAAATTTCACTTCTAAAGGGATGACTTTTAGGTAAAATAATGTAGAAATTTTATCTCTCAAATGCATACAGCTGAGACTTTAGGCCTACGTGTTGTACCATCTTTTGCACTAATCAAGGAAGGAGGATGTGGATAAATGCCCAGTAAAGACAGGATGGATAGGAAAAGGTACTTTAGAGGTGAGACTTCTTACATAAATCTAAGTCAATGATAAGAGTCTCTAGTAACTTAGTCTTTCCTCTCTTCCTACTGCACAGAGGCAGACACCCTTAAAAATGGAGGTCTCCTTTACAGATGTAAATTTCCTTTAAAAATGTGTTTCAAAATAGCCAGCTAAATGCCAGAAAGGTGAATTTGGAGACCAATTTAGTTCAATAGGCAGTCTTTTTAAGTTAGCCACTATTTTTTAGCTAAAATTACTGAGTTCAGGTTGGAGTCCATTAATTAATAAGGCCAGGAAACAATTCTCTATGTGTGGTCTCAGCATGGATAGCTCAGAAAAGAAAAAAGTCTACTTTACTTGAGGGCCTACCTTCCATGAACACTTTATATAACTCGCTTTTTATCTTTGGGGCAGGATAGTAACTAAGCCAAAAGATTAGCAGATTCAATTTTTCTTGTCAATTAGCTGCTTAAGCTTTCTATTTGCCTTTTGAAAGACTTTTAAAAGAGGCATTAGAAATACTAACTTTTTTAGAAGGTTCTGCACATCAATAGGCGTCCCTGGATATGCCTAATTTGGGAGCCTACATTTTTAAATGCACTTCTTAAAGTGTGGTGTTGGTGTTATTTGGACCATTCCACTATAATTTTAAATTATCTTTATAAGATTTTGCCATTTTTGTACGTATTTGTGGCTCGTAGGACCTAATAATTATACATGCAGAGGTATGGGGTAGACAAAAGTAGAGTGCTCCATTCTTCAGAAATTAAGGATCCCATTTTTATGTTGAATATTGGTTTTGGCTCTCACATCTCGATCAACTAAGCCAAAGGTTTTTCCCTACCTAGTGCATTGTAGAACACAAAATCCTGGTGAATTTCTGAAAGCCAGAGTTCACACCTTCTGCAGTATTGCCATTTATTGCCAGTTTGTCTGACCAGTCAGCTATCTAAGACTTCTAACTGGATATAAACCAGTTAATTATTAAGTCTAACCCAGTCCAGTGTCTGTCATGACTTCTGAACCTAGTTAAGATAAAAAATGTGCACATCCAAATTCAAATAATCAAAACACAAACACAAGGATCTCCATAATTGGAGAGACAACTTACCCATGATCCCCTGTTGATTCGAGAGAGCAATGGATACGATGGAACTGGTGGATACCTTGCTTAATCACTCCGTGCTCCTGGGGGTTGCTGGAAGCTCTACTTCAAATCTCACTTCTGAGGCCATCTGTTAAAAGAAAACCTTTAGAAAAATTAAATTTTAAATTCAATTAAAGAACAATTCAAGAGTCAGGCAGCCCTCAGAACCAGAATACATTCAGAGCGACTCTTAGACTGTCACATGGTCAGATGATATTTATGGACAGGAAAAGAAAAGTGATGTACAGAAGATTTCCATCTTGGTGCAGAAGATGGAAATGAGACACAGAAACAGTGTTTGAATATGTTTTGAACAATTGGCCACCTGTGATTGGCTGAAACTCTGTGATTGGTGGAAGAGTAGTTTCTAGTCTGCTTAGAATGCTTAAGTCAAGCTTAAAATATGTAAGGAGGCAGCTCTAGGCTCAGTTAAATTTAACAACATGATTGTATTTATATTAGTGTTTACAGATGAGAATGCCAAGGCTCTAGAAGGACTTGCTACTTTGTGGAAAGGTCAGAATTACAACACAAACCTCAATCGTCTGGGCTAGTAGGTTTTTTACTGAAGCATCATTCACATTGCACCTAAGTGCAATTAAAAGATTAAGGATTAAAGAGAATAAAAATACTGTACTGGAGGTGGGATAAATGAGGGATCCAATAAATTTGTTTCATTATAGCTATGTTTATATGCTGATCACCCTCGTATGTAAAAGAAAACCAAAGGACTGAATGAAATGTATTCTTCATTTGAAACTCCCACTCCCTTTTTTGAGCATTTTTATGAAGTAAAAGGTATGTACTACAACTTAGTTTTTGGGCTTTTTTATTTTTTTGATACCGAGTCTCACTCTTCTTGCCCAGGCTAGAATGCAATAGCGCCATCTCGGCTCACTGCAACCTCCGCCTCCCGGGTTCAAGCGATTCTCCTGCCTCAGCCTCCCGAGTAGCTGGGATTACAGGCACGTGCAACCACGCCTGGCTAATTTTTGTATTTTTAGTAGAGATGGGGTTTCACCATGTTGACCAGGCTGGTCTCGATCTCCTGACCTCGTGATCCACCCGCCTTGGCCTCCCAAAGTGCTGGGATTACAGGCGTAAACCACCACACCCGGCCGTTTTGGGGCTCTTATTGGTGAAATTCTCAGTTAGTAACTAGGAACATTTTTTTTTTTTTCCTTAAGAAACTTTCCCTTTTGATCTGGTTTATATGAGGGCAAGTGAATGTTTCTAAAAATACCTTTCTTTTGTCTTAGATCTCTGGCTTTTAGGAAGCAGAATGGCATGTTGAAAAACAAGGTATTTTTAGAAACTGCATCTTTCATTCACTCTTGTGGCCTGGGGCAAGTTACTCTGAGTCTCATTTTTCTTATTTGTAAAATGGTGAGATTTTATTAACTTAAGGGGTACCATGAGAAAACATGCTTGACAATGTGCTCAATTTTAACACATTGTTATTTAATTGTTTATTCAGTTGGAGGTTGGAGTTTGAAACTCAAAGAGATGTTAAAGTTTATCTCACCCGATTCCTTCAATTTATATATGAAAAGATTATATATGAGAAAGGGTCAAGCTAAGACAAATTTAGTCTGCTCATATTGCATTGATAATTATATACCTGGCTAAGTATTTCATTTTCTAAATAATACTTCTTTAAAAGACTATATAAATAAATAAATAAAAATAAATCTATACATACGAATTTAACAAAAGTAAAATTATAGACTATGCATTTCTAGCAAAACAATTTTAGACATGGTGAACATGTACAACAAATCTTTATATTTCTGCCAGATTCTATCAGAAGTGTGTTGGGAAAATTTATGCAAATATTGAAATTAAATCCTAAACTACTTACAAAATTATTTATTATATCATATATTAAGTATCATATTATCCAAATATAAGGTTATGTGGAGTGAAAAAGACCACAATTTTCTAATAAGTGAAACTTTAAAATTACAGAAAAGCCTTTGTTCTAGAAATATAACTTTGTTAATAACAATAATAGCAATGCATCATAATTACATACAAACAGCAAAAAATGAAAATCTTTCTTTTTCTGTTTTAGCCTTGGGAGGATGAACTGGTTTTATAGGTAAACTGATACAGTTGCTCCCCAGCAACTACTCAACATATATTTATATAACTTGCCTACAGAGGTGAACCCCCTCGGAGGCTGCTTTTCATGAAGATACTAAGCTCAAAGCATTTACGACATGCTTTTTGACCCTGACCCTGTCACTTTCCTCTCTCTTCAAACCACTATGAGGGGTTTGTAAAAAACCTTAAAAATATCAGTGTCAGCTTTTTCAAAATTTTTGGTATATTTTTTTCAGTGACAGCTTTTGTGTCTTGGGACTGCAGGGGTGACTCTGTGCACTGTTAGTGCTGAGATTCCTGAGTTCCCAGCACCAGCCCTTGCCTCACTGCCCAGCTCCCCACTGGGCACATCCTCTCATGTCGCAGATTATAACTAGATTGTGAAAGCTAGGTTATTTTGTTTTAAATGCATTTCCTTAGATTTTCTTAAGCTATAAAATGGTTTGGTCATGATGTTTGTTTTACACATATAAAACACAGTCACAAAATAGCACTTTATGAACTCAAGTACTTTTTTGAAGTGAAGTAAATATTGATGCAATTATTAATTGCATTATTAATTTTTGCTTTTACATAAGGAAAAAGAGAGCAGAAAACACAATTCTTCAGATGCTTATGCCTTCAGACAAAAAGGTTAGAAACCCTAAAAAATAGAAATCATAAAAAGTAAACTTTTTAGTTAAAATAGGTTTTGCAAAAATATTTAGGAATAAATAATATAAAATTCCCCAAGTAAAAAATAAACATAGAAATCTTGAGTAATTAGACAAGGTTTTAATTAACTTAACAATATTTTCTGTACCACATATAAAAGGAGATAGAGAATATCTGGCCTATCAGCACAACGTTGGGCTTTTAAATTTTGAGTTATTCAGGTGAGTGTGGAAGTGACAAAATTTTCATCATTATAAAAGTCTTCTATGCTCATGAAAAAATTGAGCTATTCAAATATACTCTTTTGACATCCAGATATCATTGTTTGAATAATCTGTTATTTGGCTTTTTGTTTATTAATTATCAACAGGACTCAACAAGAGATGAAGGCAATGAGACTGAAGACAACAGCATGAATAAATTAAGAAGGAAGAAAGTCACTAAACCACATGTTTGTTCCACTGAAGTCGGAGAAATGGATATGTCCAATTCAAATGGTATCTAACTACTCTGAGCCCTCAGAAATGGTGTGGTCAATGGCAATCTCCATTTGGTCTTTCTTTTCATAAAACATCTTCATTTCTTTTTTGGGAGAAGCAAAAGGACAAATAAAATTTATTCCTATATAGGTGTCATAAAAGATGGCAAATATAAGCTTACAATGTGAATATATAAAAATAACCAATCAAAATATTTACAATGTAAAGAGGGTTAGGATTAGGATGATAGTAGTAGGAAAAAAAAAAAGAACAAAACAGAGGAATGTATGGGTAGGAAGAGAGACAGTTTTCTGCTCTGAAAATGAATACAAGAATCATTACAGAAGATTTGAGGGGCCATAAGAATGGTATGGAAGGTGTTTTCATAACACATTTTGGAACTCCAATTAGATCTCAACAGATCTGAGACACTGCTAAAACTAGAAGTTAATTTGGGCGACAGGCTCAATCCTAGGAATCGCTGTGTCCCCAGGAGTTCCCAGCATACGATTATAATAAAAAGAAATCAGATTTTAGTAGAATCTATCTATCTATCTATCTATCTATCTATCTATCTATCTATCTATCTATCTGTTTAGAAACAGAGTCTCACTCTGTCACCCAGGCTGGAGTGCAGTGGCATGATCTTGGCTCACTGCAATCTCTGTCTCCCGGGCTCAAGCGATCCTCCTGCCTCAGTCTCCTGGGTAGATGGGATTACAGGGCATGCCACCACGCCAGGCTAATTTTTTTGTATTTTTAGTAGAGATGGGGTTTCACCATGTTGGCTGGTCTGGTCTCGAACTCCTGACCTCAAATGATCCACCTGCCTCAGCCTCCCAAAATGCTGGGATTACAGGCTACAGACATGAGCCACTGCACCTGGCCTGTTTTTAAATTCTCTACAAGCAATGCACTTTCTTGGCCAGTGACTAGGGTAGACCACTCCCATTGCCCCCCATTTAATATGTCACTGCTAGGAATATACTATTTTCTCAAGTATTCCTCTCCATATTATATTAAGAGACAGCTGAAAACAATGGGAACATATTTTAACATTTTTCCTTATTACTACAGAGAGGATCAGAAACCAAATTGTGTGCCACAAATTAGGGAATACAAGCAAACCCATCACGGGACCTGGCTCTGATGAGTCTCATCTGTCACATCATGACAAGGAGTCTCAGGATGAGACAACAGTGATAACACCATTGCCCCCCAGAACAACCACCAATGTTCCTGGAGGTGAATTTAACCCAAACTCTGGTAAGGATTTACTGGTAAGGATTCTGGAACAAACTGGCATGTGGTTCTAGCCACTAGCCCTAAGTTTGTATTTGAATTAGAGAGAATGTAATGTTGGTTGAGGAATACTAGCCTGGAAGTCAGAACACTTACAAAGATTTTTATACCTATCTTTTATAAAATGCTTTGTAGTTTTCTTTACCCTTTAGGCTGTTCATCTGGAAAATAGCGGGGTTGCAATGGAAGATGTCTTGCCTTTTCTAAAAGTAAAATCCTATTATTCTAAGTTTCTGGCTGATTGATAGTGATGTAACTATTTTGGTACATGAGTGTATTGATTAAAACTCACTTGAATGAAAATGCTGGAAATTGGTTATAAAAGGAAATCTAAAAGCCAGGCACAGTGGCTTACACCTGTAATCCCAGCACTTTGGGAGGCTGAGGTGGGGAGATCACTTGAGAAGTGGAATTCGAGACCAGCCTGGGCAACATAGGCAGACCCCGTTTCTACACAATAAAAAAATTAGCTGTGTGTGGGGGCACATGCCTGTGGTCCTAGCTACTTAGGGGAATGAGGTAGGAGGATCATTTGAGCCCGGGAGGTTGAAGCTACAGTGAGTTGTGATTGTGCTACTGCATTCCAGCCAGGGTAACAGAGAGAGACCCTACCCCCCTACCCGCCTCAGAAAAAAGGAAATCTATAATGACAGGGTTAAACATACAAGATTTGGAAAGATGAGAATATACTAGAGTGGGAAGTGAGAGGGATAGTGTCTACCATGTTACCCTCACTTCTGACACAAATTACAACTTTTGGAATTCCCCAAGTTAACCTTAATTTAGATAATTTGCTGGAAGGACTCACTGAACTCACCGAAAGCTGTTATATTCAAGGTTATGGTTTATTACACTACAAGGATACAGATTAAAATCTGCCATGGGCAGTCCAGGCAAGTTCTAAGCACAGAATGTTCACTTGTTCTTTGTTCACTTGTCCTTTCTTAGTGGAGACATGAACAGACAGCACTATTCTCTTGGCAATGACATGAGGAATATTGCCAACCAGGGAAGCTCACTTGAGTCTTGGTGTCCAGAGTCTTTACTGGGGCTTCATGGTTAACTGGGCATTTGGCTGACCTCACTCTCCAGCCCCTTTGGGGATCAAGCAGTTACTGCATGATTTGAAGTCACCACTATAAATAACATTGTTAGAGTTTCTGGCGTGGCCTAGAACCTCTTGGTAAACAAAGACACTCTTGTCAGGCAAGACATTCTAACTGTTTGGAAGGGACCAAGGGCAGAGACCACAGCTTTCTTTGGGCAAGGTTAAATCCTTTAGTACACACAGGGCCTGAGGAGGAGCTACAGCCTGGAAAATAAACACTATCAGAATTCTATATGTATTCGTCTTCTATTGCCACCATAACAAATTACCACAAACTTACTATCTTTTTGAAAATACAAGTGTACTATCTCACAGTTTTGTATGTTAGAAGTCTAGGTTGGTTCATCTGGTTTCCTTGTTTCAGGCTTTCCAAGGCTGAAGTCAAGGTATTGCCATCTGGGTTCTTATCTAGAGACTCCAGGGAACAGTACATTTACAAGTTCATTCAGATTGTTGAGAGAATCCAGTTCTTTGTGACGGTAGAACTGAGGTTCTTGTGTCCTGGCTGGCTGTCAGCTAGGGTGACCCTTATCTCCCAGAAGCCTCTCTCGGTTTTTTTTTTTTTTTTTTTTTTAAATCTCAGAGATAACAATGCCTCAAATCCTTCTCATATTTAGAAATTCTCTGAATTCCCCTTCTTCCACATCCCTTTTCTGCCTTCAGCTGGAGAAAGCCATCTAATTTCAAGGGCTTACATGGATAATCCAAGATAATATCCCTATTTTAAAGTCCATAACCTTAATTATATTTGCAAAGTCCCCTTTGCCATGCAATTTAACATATTCACATGTTCCAGAGATTAGGTATGGTAGGAATTTTCGTAGGGCTATTCTGTCTACTGATACCAAGAGGAGGCAGGGAAATACTGTGTAGAAGAGGGCAGTTCCCTGGCAAAGGCCCCACCCTCAAGCCTGGAAACCCATGGCCCTGAATAGGAACAGGCATTTCTGTTCTTGTTCCAAAATGTTGCCTTTTCCAAGACCACTCTGGCCCACCATGTCCCTATCCTATGCCCATATAAACCCCAAGCTCCACTGACAGAGCAGCAGAACAGCATGGCAGAGAAGGAGCATCTGAAGGTGGAGAGGAGTTTAGCTGGGGACGGTCAGAGAGGAGATCCATCGCAGGACAGCCAAACTCCAAGGGAAAATCGTATTCCCACTCCATCCCATTTCCTGTTCCCCAACCATCCCACTGAGAGCCACCTCCATCACTCAATAAAATCCCCACATTCGCCGTCCTTCTAGTCCATGTGACCTGATTCTTCCTGGACTCCAGACAAGGAGCCGGGTACCTAGAGAATAGGGTGTAAAAGACTGTTACCCGGACTTTCCACTGAGCTGGTTAACACTTAGTCGTCCGTGGATGGCAGAGCTAAAAGAGCATGGTAACACCCCTAAACACTGCCATAGGGCTGCAACCCGAAAGTGCTCACCTTGGCTCACCTGCACATTCCCCACTCCCATAAGTGGTTTGAGTGCAATGGCCAAGTAAATGAGTCATGTCCCCGTTGCAAGCCCCGCGAGGAGGTCAGGGGACTCTCCCATCTCACTACCACACCATCTCTCATAACTGAATTTCTCTCTACTTTGGCTTTATGAATTTCTCCAAAGTGAAGAGCATGAGCACTAACAACCTCTGAACATCAGGCAGCTGTTGATACAAATGTCCACAGGAGCCATACAGTTAATACAAAAGATGGGCTGGTATAAGAACATAGGGAGTGGTTCTGGTCATGAGTAAACTGGAGCAGAGAGCAACAAACTATGGCCCAAAGGCCAAATTCAGCTTGCTGGTCAGTTTTTCTAAGTAATGTTTACAAATTGTTTATAGCTGCTTTTGTGCTAAGATGACATTGTGCTAAATGAGTAGCTGCAACGAATACCATATGGCCTACATGGTTTCAAATATTTACTATCTGTTCCTTTACAGAAAATGTTTGCCACCCCGTTAAGTAGAGGTTGCCTGCCCATCTAGACTACCTCAGAGTTCCAACCAGTTGTTGCTGTGGAGAAATACCTACCCAGGGTTGCCAGATCTAGTTTCAAAATAAATTTGAACTCAAGATTTTTACATAAAATTTTCTAATAGTGAAGTGCTGTGCACTATTTCAAAAAAGTTTCTGAACACTGGGAAGACTAATCAGATAACATCTGCTGGCCACACTGGCTCCTCCAGAGCTTATGGTCATTGTTTTATATATTCTAGTTTTAGCTGCAAAAGAGAGATGGATTAACCATTTCTTTGTCTTAAGCCAGAAATCTGGAGAAAGATCTTGTGTCGTGAGCTCTCTTTGCACTGTCAGTTGTGACTTAGGGCATGGGTACCGTTACTAACTCAACTTCTTTAGCTTAGAAGCTCCCTTTTTGGCCCAGAGTGTATTAAGTTCTCTATAGGCCCTCAGTACCAAAAACTTAAAACACAAACCAATACATTTACATAATTAAAAAATAGATTTAAAAATAAACCCCAAAAATAAGTGTAAGGAATTTTGATATGGTATTTCTTCTTTGGAATAACTTCTCTGAGTTTTTCCAAAAATAATACTTTGTTTTTTTCAAAGAAAAGCCCCCTTTCCCTCCCACTTTTTATTGTATTGCTTTTTTTCCCTGCTTTGTACCTGGTTATTCTGCCACCTGGGCTTTCCAACAATGTCTGCGCTAATATGATGTGGCCAGAAGGTAGCACAAACAGGGTGACTCTCACCATAGCCACAATGATGAAAGACGGCTGGACCTTGAAACAGCATGGTACATTATACTAGGTGTGCAATAAGCTGAATGTATTCCAGGGTTTTCTCTCAAATGCACTTTTCCCTTTCTTTGAATTGGTGTTTCTGAAGCCCAAACGTCTCTTCAATCTCCCTTTTATAAGTGACCATGGCTTGTTCTGTATAACTGATATATGTCCTCATTGTCACTGAACACGGACAAAATTTTTCCAAGGCCTACTAGTTGCTATAGAGCTTTGACTTTTTTTAAAAAAATGTTTTCTTATTTTTTCCCTAAACATGCACAGCACTAAAACATCTTCTATAAAAACACATTGATTTAATTTATTAATCCCTTGATGGAATAGAAAAGAAGAAAATCTCCCAGGAACCACACTGTAGGAAAAACAAATGAGCTCCTGAACTGGCAATTATCTGCCAGCTATTCATCTTGTGCCACTGGGAAAGGCTGACCAAAAGGTTTAATTGTAAATAACAAGTATGATTTATTGAAGAAAAATTCAGACGATGCAGCAAGATCAGTTGATGCCTTGAAAATGAAATGGGATTGGATAGGTTTCTCATATTTGGTGAAAGAATTAAACTTTTAAATGAAAAATAAATACTTAGGATATATACTAAAATATATGATGACAACTTTTACTTATCAATTAGACAAGGTCAAATCACACAGGATGTATTCATTCATTCACTCACTCACTTATTTAAAAAATATTTGTCGAATGGCTATGAGATGCCTATACTGCTACAAGTACCAAGAAAACAGCAGCAGATAAAACTAAGCCTTGGCTCTCAAGGAGCTGATAGGCAATGGGGGATGACAGGAACATGTGAGTATACAGTGTGGCAGGTGCCAATAAGGACACTGAAGATAATAGAAACAGAATGATATACTGTTATGTGTTGAATGGTGTTTCTCCAAAATTGTTAAAATGATATCCTAACCTTTGGTACCTGATAATGTGGCTCAATTTGGAGGTACACTCTTTAAAGGGGTAATTAAGGTTAAATGAGGTCAGCAGGGTGACCCCTAATTCAGTATAATTCATGTCCTCCTAAGAAGAAGAGATTAGGTCACAGACATGCACAGAGAAAAGAACATGTGAAGGTGCTGGAAGAAGATGGCTGTCTATTAGCCAAGGGGAGAGAGACCTTAGAAGAAGCAATCCTGCTGACACCTTTGGTTTCCGACCTCTAGCCTTCAGAACTATGAGAAAATAAATTTCTGTGTAAGCCGCCTGTCTGAGGCATTTGTCATAGTAGCTTTAGCAAACTAATACATGTACTCTACTCACTGTCCAGTCACAGAGCAACTTAGAGACTTCAAAATGAATCAAGGGTTAGAGCTGTCTATGTTGTGATCAAGTCTCATACAATTAATACTTCAGGTGATTATGGTTTTGTTTTGTTCTTTTTTCAGCCCTTTTACTGTGTGAACTAATCCCACCCTTGCATTTGATGGCATGTGTATTATCTATACCTGCCCCACTTTATAATATAAAGTTCTATGAGGGTAGGGCTCTTTCTGGCTGATTCCTAGATACATGTTCAGTATGAATAGTATGTGATGATGAAAAATATCTATGTTGAGTGAATGAATAGTATTATTATTTTTATTGATTATTTTTGTTTTTTGAGATGGAGTCTCACTCTGTCGCCCAGGCTGGAGTACAATGGCACCATCTCAGCTCACTGCAACTTCCGCCTCCTGGACTCAAGAGATTCTCCTGCCTCAGCCTCCTGAGTAACTGGGATTACAGGCGAATGCCACCGCCTGGCTATTTAAAAATTTTTTTTTTATTTTTATAGAGATGGGGTTTCACCATGTTGGTCAGGCTGGCCTTGAACTCCTGACTTCGTGATCCACCCGCCTCAGCCTCCCAAAGTGCTGGGATTACAGGTTTGAGCCACCGTGCCCAGCCGAATATTATTCTTATTTTAAAATAATATGTATTCATTGTAGAAAGTTTAGGAGACACAGATAAAGCAAAAAGCTAGTAAGACTACCTGTTATCCTATTACTGGTGAACCAATAAAATTACCTTTCTCCTTTTATAAGGGATGTCTTCTTTATAGCTTATGTATAATTTCTTATTATGTTTAGAATATTCATTATCTAAAAATTTCCATATTATTATTATTATTTTTTAAGACAGTCTCTCTTTGTCGTCTAGGCTGGAGTGCAGTGGTGCGATCTTGGCTCACTGCAACCTCCACCTCCCAGGCTCAAGCAATTCTTGTGTTTCAGCCTCCTGAGTAGCTGGGACTACGGGAGCACAACACCACACCCAGCACATTTTTGTATTTTTAGTAAAGATAGGGTTTTGCCATGTTGCCTAGGCTGGTCTTGAACTCCTGACCCCAAGTGATCTGCCCACCTCAACCTGCCAAAGTGCTGGTATTACAGGAGTGAGCCACCGCGCACGACCCAAATTTCCATATTTTAAAATGCCTATCAATTTTGCTTTAAGGAGCATTATTCATCTTGGGCTGAATACCTAATATTTCAGAGTAGGTTGGGAATACAGCAAGTGTTAATTTAGCATGAAACACTTTAATTGCTACAGTTTGTTTGTTTTAAATGGAAGGTAGTTATAAAGCCTCCAGAGTTTCAGAGTAGCCAAATGTATCAGTGATAGCACATTATCACTAATGTATTTGCATATATGGAACCAGTAATTTGTTTTTCCCATGCTTCGTGTACTTAAAATCTACTTAATCTATGTTTCTAAACTGTCAATCTTTATGCTTAGTTTTAAAGCCTAATTATATCTTGCAAAAGAATACTCAGGTATCTCTTTAGAATTATAGCTGCTCAGCATCAATGATGTGACAGATTGATGAGTGTTTGGTTGCAGACTCGATCATGATACCATTTACTAGGGCTAGAGTACTTGTACTCACTTTATGCATTTAAGTAGCACTTATATGGTGCTTACTGTCTGCCAGTAACTGTTAATAACCTGTTTAATCCTCCTAACAAGCCTGTGAAGTAGGTCATATGTTACTGATGAGAAATTCAAGGCATAAAGAGGATAAGATTGTTGCTAGGGCAAAGGTAGGATTGGAATGGAGGTGGATGGGCTTCAGTGTTTTGTGCTAACCCAAACTACACTCTGCTGCCTCTCCTAAAAGTTCTGACAGCAACTAACATTTATAATGTATACTATTTGCCTGACAATTCTATGTGCTATAGACATACTAATTTAATTTGTGGTAATAAACCACCCAGCGTGAATCAAAACTCTGCATTCTAGTTTCAGTTCCGCGGTGAACTGATAGTGTGGTTTGGAGTAACTCATTGTGCCACTTTGGGACTCAAGCTAACGAGTTGATTAGATTAAATGATTTATCTCCAAAGTTCTCTTCTAGCTCTGAAGTTGGAATTTGCAAACTATCTTAAATTCTTGAAAAGAACATTTTTTATGTTTCTAATTTTAAATTGAGTACGCAGTCCAGATTTTTCATCTCCTACACGCTCATTCTTAAAAAAAAAAAAAAAAAAAGACACGGTTGTTTGCTTATTTAAGCAAGTTTTAAATTTGACAGAAATGTGTAGACTTCTTAGAGTTAGATGCCATTAAAAAGATATAAAGCCCTTTGGGTAAAATACTCCCAGAATGAGACAAAACCCCAGAAAATAAAACCAAATTCACTTTTAATCACATAGAAATTTAAATTTAGAAATTAACAGTTAGTTTAAGAAGCCCAAATATGTTCAATAATAGTCACCTACAGACAGGCTTTTATGGTCCCTTTTTTGCTGTGAACTTATGCAAATATGTTCTAATTTCCATAAGCAAAAGGATTTTCAGTATCTACATATGAGTTCGCTATATCCTTATGCAAATAATGTCAATTTTGACCTCGTCCTAACTGATAAATGATCTCAGGTTGTTTAGACACAATATTCTTGGGAAGATGGTACGGGCAGAATGAGAAAGGTAAGAGATCCAACTCTAAGCCAGTGACATGATGAATATTAATGTTTTTATTAATAATATTGACTCACTACTCTGTAATCTCCTTTTGCTTCTCAGTCCATCATGATCTCCTGAGTTAGAACCTATTTTTTTTTTATTTTGCAGATTGCATGAGGGACAGCAGTCAAATTCTGGCCCCACCTCAACTCTCTTCTAGAATGAAACACATTAGACAAGCCATGGCCAAAAATCGCCTCCAGTTTGTACGATTTGAAGCAACAGACCTCCATGGTGTGTCCAGGTCTAAGACTATCCCTGCACACTTTTTTCAAGTGAGTTTAACACACAGTTGTGACTGAATGTAATTTCATGACCATTAGCAGGCAAATGGTTCTTATTACTGTTTCTTATTTTCTTGTAATCTATACAGCAATTCAAGCTGAAAATCAATAACTTATTTTGTTTCTTCCCTTGTTCCTCCCAAACATGTTATTGCTCCCCAAGGAGCTAAACGTGTACTCTCGGCTCTCAAACAGCAATTTCTTTACCCAATAGAAATACAAAACTAATTAAGACTGGTAAATTTAGTCCTTCTGCCTTGAATAATTTTGCTCTACAGAATTATTTTTTCTCCCTTACTGCAATTATGAAGATTGTATTTTATTTGACACAAGAAAATTGCAACAGAAGACCCAAGAGCAAACATAAAGAGGAAAAAATGATTAAAGAGAAATAATTTGCTAGATAAAAAACATATTCCTTTCGGCTCCAAATTCTGATAAGAAAATAGTCCATTGTTGTTGGATGACTTAATGAATATTATTAAATTCCCGAAAATGATGATATCAACAAATACTGTGTTTTTGTTGTTTTGAGACTTCCTTAATTTTTTGTATCAGTTTTTGTCATGTGTTTATTTTGATGACTGAGTTGTTGTGTTAATTAAATATCAAATTTCTTAGCAAGGGACATCAGGTCGGTACTATTTAAGAAAGTGTGAAAGTTAAGCATCCTCTAGGTTTAACTATTTTAAAATATTATACTTTTATCACATTAATATCAGATTCTAATTGTTAAATTTGCTTCATGTTGGGAAAAACTGGACATCTTCAAAAACACTTTTTAAAGAATTCTAACAGATTCGAACTTGTTTCCTAAGGAATTATTTGGAGCTGCTTGCAGATATTGTTTCCTCTTCATCCAGGCAAGAATATATGTTGTTTAATTTTTATAAAATGTGGATTTTCTTGTGGACAGGCCCAGAATATAATTCAAATGAATCTCTTCCAATCATAAGGAAAAGTAACTGGCACTTTAAGTACTTGCCAGAGAACTCAATATAAAACTGTTTGCTATTCAGTTTTTATCAAATTTTAATCATTTATTTTACTAATGGCACCTACAAGTCCATTACTCTAGTTTCTCAGTGGAATCCTTTTACAAAAATAAAACAATATGCTGCTTATACTTGCTAAGGATTGATATAATTGGCACAAAGAGAAAAATTCTGCATACTTTTTTTATCCAACTGTTACTGAAAATATTTTTTGCTATTTTGTTCAATATCCCACATATAAAAAACACTTTTTTTTTCTAGAGTTTAGCTAGAGAAAAAGTTTGTCTACCATGAGAATTTTAATGTAACTCATTATACACCTTCTCAATGGCTATATTTATTTTTAGTCCCAGTTTCCTAATAACTAACTTCACTATTTCATTACCTCATTATTATTATTTTGTTCTCATTTAATGATCATAGATTATTTTTTAAGAAGCCACTTTAAATTCATTTTTGAAACTTGTGAAGGTATAAATAATGAGTATTAGCACAATGAATATTTGTAATTTAAGACAAAATAATTTATTTTGGAAAATTTGCTGTGAATAGACATTAAAAATAGGTTTAAGAAGACGGGCGTGGTGGCTCATGCCTGTAATCCTAGCACTTTGGGATGCTGAGGTGGGCAGATCACCTGAGGTCATCTGCCTGACATGGCAGTTTGAGACTAGCCTGACCAACATGGTGAAACCCTGTCTCTACTAAAAATAAAAAAATTAGCTGGGCCTGATGACAGAGGCCTGTAATCCAGTTACTTGGGAAGCTGAGGCAGGAGAATCACTTGAACCTGGAAGGCAGAGGTTGCAGTAAGCTGAGATCACACCATTGCACTCCAGCCTGGGCAAAAAGAGTGAAACTGCATCTCCAAAAAAAAAGGAAAAAACAGATTCATCTGTGCAAAGTAACCTAAATATCGTGTGTGTGTGTGTGTGTACTTTATTCCATCTCAAAAAAAAAAAAATTCATTTGTGCAAAGTAACCTAAACATTGCATGTGTGTGTGGTGTTTAAGGTTTAAACCTTACAACCAACTTATATTATCTCTGTTCTATCAAAAGTGTTGATATTTATTTAAATTATATGCAAATAATGTAGGATCTTTCTATATTTGATCTAGCCAAAACATGATACATTGCTATAGACTCGTAACTAATTCTTGGCTTATTTCAAAAGATAACCTTTACTATGGTCCAAGTTTCATTTTTGATAAGGTTTAAGTTATTCTGCAAACATTTTATTGAGCCCATAGTGATCTATATTGAAGATGAAGTTGTTCCAGTGCTTTATATCTATAAACACTGCTTCAGACAATATATTATCATGAATATATTCATGTATATTCATATACTTCCCGTAACTAATAGAGAGTAGTTTGCATTCTCTATGTCCAAAAAAAGAATAAAGCAAATTACAGTGCCAGAAAAGAGTGTTCAAAAAAATACGGATTAAATAATCTAAAGAATAAAGTGTGACTTTTTACTATTTTTTGAGTTCATGAAGGACTATTGGAGTGAAATGGCAACCCAGCTGTTCTCTACTACTCACAGCCAAGTGAATACAAACACAGATTTAAATTGCAGGAACTCATAGAAGTCTCATGAATAAAATATATTATTTCTCATTTTAGTTATGTAAAGAACTAATATATGGAATTTCAAACTAAAAAACTGACAAGCAGGGAAATGACATTATTGCTTATAGTGAAAATATGAATTAAAGGATTCCATGCTATAGTATTCAAATATCCCACAGTATGCGTGCGTGTGTGTGTGTGTGTGTGTGTGTGTGTGTATAAAGTTTACATGTACAGGTCTATGAGTGAGTTGGAAAATTAGGTAGACACCAAATAGTGTTTGGCTCACTCAACTTTATTATTGGTGAAAGTAGACTTGGATCAGTTCAGTCAAATAGCATTCAAAAATGTGTGTAGAGATGGTGAAAAGTGAAGGAGGCAGTGGTTCATGGGCAAATGCAGAAGAGTGAACCAGTAAATTATTTTGGCTAATACCAGCCCCTCTTTGATAGCCATGCTTCTTGGGTTCTGGAGGTAACATAAGAAATAGTCTGGCTTCCTTCTACCATGTGAGGATACACAAGAAGAAGCCATATACGAACCAGAAAGCAGTCGTCACCAGACACCATATCTGCTGTTGCCTTCATCTTGTACTTCTCAGTCTCCAGAACTAAAGAGGAATAAGTTTCTGTTGTTTATAAGGGGAAAAAAAGAGAAAGAAAGAAAAGGAAAGCATCTGTCTTACAGATTGCTAGGTTGTTTTATTAACCTCATGATCTTCACTGACTTCATGGGAACCAACCTTTTATACTCAGTGATTTTTCTCCATCTATTAAAGTAACCTTCAACCTTGTTGATATATCTAATACATAATTTCCAGAAATTGTTTTACGCGTCTGTTCAACTTAATAACCTTATTGCTTCCCTGTTGCCTGGCACAGAGCAAAAGTTAAATAAATGACCAAATTCACTGAAATCTAGAAATAAACGACTAGAAAGTACCTTAGCAATCGTCTAGTCTAACGTGTTTTACCGATGTGGAAGCTGAGGCACATAACCCAGTGACTTGCCAAAATTCACAGAAGCAATTAATGAAAGAGCTAGGATGAGAAGGCAGATCTGTTGACACCCAGTTCACGCTGACTTGAAGGTTACAACATTTTGGAAGCTCTAACTTTGGAGTTACAGGTCCACATTCACAGACAAGGGTTCTGGGACTCTGAGACAGTGAGGTTTTTAATTCTTAAATGGGTTGTAAAAGTGAATAAAGAGAGGAATGCAGCTGTCAGCGTCCTGGCTCCCCTGGTGTTAGGACAAATGTGCTGTGTGCCACAGTATTGACCATAGTCTGCAATTTGAGAAGGATTGAGAATTGTTTACTGTAGACTTTTGAGGGTCAGTTAACTCAGGGTTACAATAAAATAAGCAAAAATAAAGCCTTATCTGAAGAATTAACAACTGTACTATAAAATAAAAAGTGCTTCAGGAAGTACTTTTGATGATGATAATTTCAAATAATTCCATAAAGCTTTACCTTTATTTTTTGCTATAACGGATTTTCTTTATCATTATATCTTTTATTTATAACTGCTATTTTGAAATCTAAGAGCATTTAAGGCCTTCAAGGCTTAAAACATTGCATTGTTTATAAAGTTGCCTTTAGGGGTTTTATTTTAAAATATTTGACATTTATCTGATACCAAGTTAGTGTTAACCAACAAATGTTAAACATATATATATATTTTTTCTTCAATAACAAAGCCTTTTCCCCCCCAAACCCTTTGGTTGGTTTCAAAAACCAAATTCCTCAATTTTTTTTTCCTTTTTTAGGAGAAAGTGAGCCATGGAGTTTGCATGCCCCGAGGTTATCTTGAAGTGATACCGAATCCTAAGGACAGTGAAATGAATCGCATAAGAGCCACATGTTTTAATAGTGACATAGTCCTAATGCCAGAGATATCAACCTTTAGAGTTTTGCCATGGGCTGATAGAACTGCAAGAGTGATATGTGATACTTTCACTGTGACTGGTGAGCCTCTTTTGACTTCCCCAAGGTACATTGCAAAGAGGCAGCTGAGCCAGCTGCAGGCCTCTGGCTTTTCCCTGCTTTCTGCTTTCATCTGTGATTTCTGCATTTTTGGTGTGCCCGAATTTTTAAATTCAAAGACTATATCATTTCCTGCTTCAACATTTTTAAATAACCATGATCAGCCCTTCATGCAGGAACTTGTTGATGGCTTGTATCACACTGGAGCAAATGTCGAGAGTTTTTCCTCCTCTACCAGGCCTGGTCAGATGGAAATCTGTTTCCTGCCTGAATTTGGCATTAGCTCAGCTGATAATGCATTTACCCTCAGAACAGGTGTCAAAGAAGTGGCAAGGAAATACAATTACATTTCCAGCTTCTTCATTGAGACTGGATTTTGTAATTCAGGGATTTTGTCTCATAGTCTCTGGGATGTCGATAGGAAGAAGAACATGTTTTGCAGCACTTCTGGAACTGAGCAGCTGACGATCACTGGGAAAAAATGGTTGGCAGGACTCTTGAAGCACTCTGCCGCACTCAGCTGCCTGATGGCGCCTACTGTTAGCTGCCGAAAGCGTTATTCCAAGGACAGTAAAGACCTGAAGGACAGTGTGCCTACAACGTGGGGATACAATGACAACAGCTGTATATTTAATATCAAGTGTCATGGAGAGAAAGGCACCCGGATAGAAAATAAGCTAGGCTCAGCAACAGCAAACCCTTACTTGGTGCTGGCTGCAACTGTTGCTGCAGGCTTAGATGGACTTCATAGCAGTAATGAGGTCTTGGCTGGTCCAGATGAGAGCATAGACTTTTACCAAGTGGAAACTTCTGAGATCCCTTTAAAACTGGAAGATGCCCTTGTGGCACTGGAAGAAGATCAATGTCTGAGGCAGGCTCTAGGAGAAACCTTTATTCGATATTTTGTTGCCATGAAGAAATATGAGTTGGAGAATGAAGAAATAGCTGCAGAGAGAAATAAATTCTTAGAGTATTTTATTTAGAATAGAACTCATAACTACTCCTTTAGAGATGTAATTGTTACTTAAAGCTAATCTACCAAAACAAAGACTGAACTTTTGTCATTAACAACAGTAACAATAACAAGACTATGAATGCTTTTGACTTTTTTTTTTTTTTTTTTTCCTCCATGGAATATTTGACAGATGAAGTAGGACTGCTGAGAAGATTCTGATAACAGAAACAAACAACAAAGTCGTGGTGAAGCTACAATATGCAAACTTACCAGATCTTGTCAGTTAGTCATTTCCTATGTGTATGTTGACCTGGATAGGAATATCCAATTTTGGGGGGCAATAAATATATTTGCACATTAAAAAAAAAGACTTAAGCATTAGAAAGCAAATTTAAATGACTAAAAAAGAAAAAAAAATAAAAGGAGGAAAAATTTTAATGGTACACATAGGTTATGACTTCCAGGGAGACAAATATACTAATATAGTCTTGCTAATCAAATAATATTGTGAATCTAGGTTGTGTGCATCATTATGGTCTTTCTAAACAAGTTAAATAAACTTTTGCCAAAATAATGACAGGTAGGCAGTTTTCCCCTAAGTCACTTCTCTTTTCACGCTTTTCCACTAGCTCCTGAAAAGCTTATGAATTTCAAGGTTATAATGTCCTCAAGAAACAAATCCCTAAGGAATAGAATTGGAGCTGGGAACAACGAGGTCAGATTTTAAAAGTAGTTAAAGCCTTTCTTTAAACAATGCCTCGTATAGAAGTTTGATGCATAAAGTATAGATAGAAAGAAGTTTGTGTGTGAGGGTAGGCGGGCTCTGTCTACTCTGCTTCACTCTTTGAAACTAGATGTCCCTCTGAAACCTCTCGTGCTCTGTGGAGTGTCAGAACAACTTCCTGGCTAGCCGGGGCTGTTTGGAGTTTAAGTTTGTTATTCAAATTACAAAATCTGCTGCTCACAGAGCTTGGTACCTCCCCGGAGAATATTACATGTTCCAGGCCTTTGTTTGAATGAGATAATATTGTAACTATCACTAAAGTTTAGCTTCTTTTGGGAGGAAGTCCAAAATCCACTTACTAGCAAATGAAAATGTTGTTCTACTGCTTAGGATCAAACAGCAGATTTTATGTTCAATTAAAACTGACTGTGGTTTCAATTTAGATAGCAAACACAAGGAGAGGATTAGAATTTGGCTCAGATCCTCTTATTAAAATTCTTAGTACTCAGTAGCTTAAATAGTGAAAGTCAGTCTGTCCTTCACTAATTACTCCCTTCTTTTCTCCACACACAAAAGAAGTGTATTTGGATACATAAGAAGAAAGTTCCCAGCACTTTGGGAGGCCAAGGCGGGAGGATTGCTTGAGGCCAGGAGTTTGAGTCCAGCCTGGACCACATAGAGAACCCATTTCTAAAAAAAAAAAAAAAAAAACAAACAAACCCTGGCATGGTGGCATGTGCCTGTAGTCCCAGCTAATTGGGAGGCTGAGAAGGGAGGATCGCTTGAGCCTCAGCATTTGAGGCTGCAGTGAACCATGATCATACCACTGCACTACAGCTTGGGGGACAGAGTGAGACACTGTCTTAAAAAAAAGAAAAGAATAAAATTCATGGATGCATATGGGGTAGAGAAAAAGATAGTGTAGGGTAGGTGGGGGAAGGAAGGGAATCTGTCCTGAAACCTCCAAAATGAAATCCCACACATTACATCATGTGAGGGATAAGGAAGACTCTCATGCCAATTTTCTAGTTGTCTGCCTATATTCATTTCCCCCTCTGTTCTCAGTAATAAAGCCTGAATATGTTCATTGAAAGCAATGAAAATGAAATGATATTTCTGAGCCTTCATTAAGGTTGGATGTGGTCATGTTATTAGGTTCAGTGCAAAGAGGTGAAAGTAGAAGTGTTGTATGTAAGTTCTTTAGGACATTTTCTTTTCTTTTCTTGTATTTTTTTTTTTTCGAGATGGAGTCTCGCTTTGTCACCCAGGCTGAAGTGCAATGGCGGGTCTTGGCTCACTACAACCTCTGCCCCCTGGGTTCAAGCAATTCTTCTGCCTCAGCCTCCCAAGTGGCTGGGATCACAGGTGCCTGCTACCATGCCTGGCCTTTTAGTAGAGATGGGGTTTCACCATGTTGGCCAGTCTGGTCTTACACTCCTGACCTCAGGTGAACAGCCCGCCTTGGCCTCCCAAAGTGCTAGGATTACAAGCGTGAGCCATCATGCCCTACCACACTTTAGGACATTTTTCTAAGTGACAGATGCTGTGTACTCTGCCTTTTCTCTCTAGCTACCTTCACCCTTCCTGCTGACTGGCCTACAGATAATGTGGCTAGGATAATGTCCTTTGGAAGGAAGGTTTGCTACACAAGGTGCAGTAATAAGGTGGAACTTCTGCTTTGTAGAGCAGTTTGACTTGCCTACATCCAGACATTTACCTGCAAGAGAACCAAACTTCTATCTTCTTTAGGCCACAATGGTTTTGATTCTTTGTTAGTTGCAATGAAACTTTTTCTCTTTTGCATGTGTGTTTTGAATGTGTGTGTGTGTGTGTGTGCGCGCGCACACGTGCATATGAGTGGGGCATTTGAGGGATTTGGGGATGAAAGAAAAAAGGTATAAGAACCAGTGAAAGACCACTTCCTCAATATTCCCACTTCTAAAGAGGATAATCCCACTTCTAAAGAGGATAATCTGAGTTAATCAAAGGGATCCACACATGCAAAAAATGAGATTGGCTCTAACCTATCCCTATAAAGTGGCATATCCCTTTATAGTCCATAGGCCTTAATGAAACATGTCTAATGCATTGACTTCATTTTACCATAATGAGTAAAAGATGCTGCAAAAAGTCTGTTAATCACAGTGTTTGAAGCCCTTTTTTCCCCTTTCACATTAATAGCATAACTTAAAAACACAGTACTCAGGATGACATGTGAAGACATTATATATATTATCTTCAGAATTAAGTGTACAGTAGTGAGTCAACAGAAAATATTCAGCCATAGATTACAAATCAGTTGATAACGTAAGTTGGTGTGGCAGTCTCCACCAAGATTTCAGTCAGGTGTGTGCTGATATATATTCTTGTTCTTTAAGGCAACCCGAAAAGAGGCATTGGCCAACAGAGTTCAGGGCCAAAGACAAATTGGGGTAGGTACATGTAAAAATCAGTTACCTATTTTTCTATTTCTTTCATCTGTTCATAGGCTTTCTATTGTTGAAGGGACTTTCTGCTGATGCTTCTACCTTCTTGGTCTGGGTTAAGAGGGTCAGACATTCATTCAGCAGCACTTATTGAGCACCATTTGTGTGCTAGGCCTTTTGCTGGGAGCCATTATACTAGGGGAGACCAAAACAAAGATGAGCAGACAATGAAAGAGTTTTGGATCTGGGTGTCTTAAGCAGAAGAGAAATAATTTTTTTTGGAGGCCTAATGCTGAAAAAAACTATTTGGAAAGCTTCTTCATGGCTTGAAAAGGATTTTTTATTGAATAGCTTTATAAAAATTACTTTCTTATTTTCATTTACTATAATTGTTCTAATCAAAGCTTAGGGGAAAAATGTGATTACTGAATTTAAAGTTGGTTATTAAATGAGTATACATAAGAAATGTAAATTAAAAGCGATAATGTTTTAAGACTAGAAACTAAAACATTAGTATTGTAGTAACAAGTTTCTATTTTCAAGGACATTCTATAATCTAAAATTTCATTTTACAGTGTCTGAATAACAACAAAGCTTGAAATGATTATTTGAAGGCAATGAAAGATAAAAAAACTTTAATCTGAATAAAAATGGAAAGCATACAGTGAAGTCTGAGCTTATCAGTAAAACAGGACAGTCTATTGACATATCTCCAGTCATCTGTTTGACAAAATATACTTACCAATATGTTTATGATATAGATATAAATGGACGATACCTTTAACCCTGGGTTTTCTATTACAGGGGTTAGAATTTGTATCTTTAAACATTACCTATGTGCACAGTGCCTTCCCTATTAAAGCTCTTCTCATGCTGCCTAAAATTAGGGGTTTGCATGATACTTCCTAATTAGGATGTGAATTCTAAGAATAAAAGGAACAGATCTTACTTACATTTGCATTAATACTTCTTGTTCCTTGCATATTTTCTGGAATTCAATTAATGTTTAACCAATCCATCAATCAATGCATATGTTATTAGCATAATACAATACTGTGCTTGTCCAGTATAAAACACACAAATTCACATATCCTGAGAGAGGGAGGAATAGAGACAGTGGAGAAGACCAACAGTTTGTGTTTTTTCATTGATCCTACAATTTCTGCCATTAGAAGAACTTCTTCAGGTTTTCTGCTTCTAGAAACTCCTGAATAAACACCATTTGATTAGCTTGATGGGGATCAAAAGAACAAGAACAACAACAAAAAAACAAACAAACAAAAAAAAAACAAAAAAAGAGAGAGCAAGGTGAAGTTGTCATGTTTTTTAGCCATGGGGAACCTTTCAATAGCTCTCTTACATTTGTGGAATCCCTCTTCTTTGGGCTCTTGTCTCCCAAGTAGAAGTCAGAACCTCACCTTCCCAGTTTCTCTTGCTGCCATGGTACAAGGACCATGCAAGATGCAGTCATAAAACCCTCAGGGACTCCACTCTGCTGAGCCTGAAGGAGGCAGCAGCGACAGGCATCCATGGGTGCCATCCTGGGGTGGCATTGTCGGGGGACACTGGTTTTGCTATTGTCCAATGCCAGTGGCTGTCAGGTCTCTGGAAGAGTCAAGCATAGCTTCTGAACCTGATTTTCTGGACCTCCCAGATTCTATTAAATATCTAATTTTTTTAAAAAAATTCTCTTTTTCTTAAAGTAGTTTGAATTTTTAAAAAGAAGCCTGACTGAAAAACAGTGTATAAAAAGACAAGCAACGAGCAAGAAAACTTTGATAAGGGAGAAGAAGAAAGAAAGGGAGATAATTACCCTTAATCAGAAGACTAGGAACAATTGAATGTGTATACTAGATACAGATTAAACAAAGGTTTATTAAGCTCCTAGTACATAACATACATCATGTGGGCACTTTCTCATTCATTTCCTTATTTCATGCTGTCTACAATTTTATGAGAAAGGTATAGTTATTATTTTTAAAAACGAGATTTAAGACCCTAAAAAGTTGTTGTGTTGAAAGAACTAGGAATCAAATCCAGGTTTCTACTCTCAGTCTCATGGTCTCTGTGCTACACCAAAATGCCCTTCACTACACGGACTCAGCTGAGTACAACACCGAAAATTATGCTGAATATTACATTTTAATTTTAAGGCTTCTAGGCATTAAAATGAACAGAAGTAGGTAGTAGATATGTGTTTGATGTCTCTATCCAGACCAGAAGATCTTATCAAAAGTATGATGCCATAACATTATTT